TATATATATATATATATATATATACTCATTTTAAATCATAAGTTTGTTTTGATAACTCAAATTAAAAAAAAAAAAAAAACTTCTTGAGCCCCATTTTCTTCCCTAATTCTTTTGCCCATTTCCCATAAACTAAAGTATCTTTAAATCTGAAAATTTATTTGAAGAAGAGGCAAGAAGTACGCTGCATTTTAGATTTATATATTGAACGCGAAAAAAGTATTCAAACTCCAAACATCAAGGTAGGGGTGTTTCGGCACTTATGTAAGTGATGTAAGATTTATATATTTTCATTTGCATTAAATGTGTTATTGTATTGCTCATGATGGAATCATCGTTTGGTGGTTTAAACAAGAGATGAAGAGATGATTATGACAAATGAAATGAGGTTATCAAAACCTAAGAGTAAACGGACTGACTGATCACCAATTCGCTTGAAATTGACGGTGACACAATTAACTAAAGTTTGTATTTCTGAAAATATATATTTTTACCGTTTACTTAAGTGTTTCTTACCGAGTATTATTTATAGTACTCATCCCTACAAATAATTTTACAGGTTAAGATCGAGGCATGACAGTGGTTGGCATAGTGGCAAGTGTTCGGCAATCTCTAATGCTTTCAATTTCTAGTAAATATTTCTATTTATGTAAATATTTTATGAAACTTAGATGAACTTTTAGAAATGTTTTTTTTAATGTTTATTTTGTTCCATTTTTAGACAGTGTACGTTAACAAGAATTTAGAAGTGTTGGATTGATTTGTATGAAGTTTTATTTTATGCTGGATGGAAATTTCAGTTTCTGTCCTTCTAGTTGAAAATAGCATAACTTAAGCTACAGTGCATATTTTAAAGTTAAATTAGTTGAGTTTGAAAGATCCATGAATCTTCTAATAGTAGCCTTTGGAATTTCCTTAAAATATTATCTAGAGAAAAAGTTATGCCCGGTTTAGTAAACTGCGTCGTGTCGAATCCGAGATTCCTGTCCAGCATACTCGAGTAATATTTTTGTACTTCAAACGTTATCGTCGAAACCCCAAATTTTTATATGTGATACATATATGAACGCTTTAGTTCCTGTAAAAATTTCATAAATTTTAATAGACATTTGCTAAGCCAAATATATTTTTTCTTCCGCTATTGTGAAATGGACTCCACATAGCCCTTTGTTTGAGCCTCATTCTTCCCCAAAAATACATTTTTGAATAGTATATTGATAGAAATGTGTGGTTAAAAAGAAAGAAATGAAAACCTCGTGTGAATAGAATGAGTGTGTAGGGAAAATGGATCGAAATTTACCCAATGAAGAGAGGGTCTCTAAGTCTTCATTGAGGGGGCCGTCTTGACCTGCTCTGTCAAAGTATGACACAGCTTGTGAACTCTAGGATTTCTTCTAAAATGGGGACATGAGATTGATTGGGAACTTTCCGAGACCGCTAGCACAGTATCACCTGTTCAACAAATTCTGGTAGGAAAAATTAGCGGTTGGGTCCCACCTATTCAAAATTGAGCAAGCAGAGGTAACGACCGGATCCCTAACCTTTTGATTTTCCTAGTTTTCGAGAAGAAGTGCTACAAGGAAGAAATTTCAGGTTCTGTTTGTCAAATTGGGTGACCCATTATCCACGAAGTCCACCATTTGACATTGAAAACATATATCTTTACAATTAATCTAGTTGTACAAAACAAGTGTTGACAAAATCTTGACCTTGGATTTGAAATGATTTAAACAAATGTTTTTGAAATGATTGGTGTAGATGTTGTTTTGTAAACAAATTTTGTCAACTAATTTTGTACGTGTAACATGACTAATATCTAATTATGGACAGAAAAATTGTCTTCTAATGATGGCCTAGAATTTGAAACTCGATCTATCTTATCTTATTAAGAATTTAGAATTTCCTTTTTTCTTTTAAATTAAGTGTTTGTTTGAGAGAAATTATAGTGAAACGTAGTTGATCTCATTATTGGGTGCACCTACAAGAGAAAAACTAATGACAGGTGTGCAAACGAAGTCAAAGGGACATAATTAAAACCTAAAATAAGAGGACAGAAATTCCCTCAATATAGTACTTGCCACTGTAATTAACAACTTCTTGTGATCACTGTAATTTGAGATTTAGGATTAGCATTCGCATGGGACATTAATATATACAAATAATTGATCCCTGTGAACTGTCTTTGCAGTGATTATTTTTGTTTTATTTATCTCTGTTTTTTTTTATTATGACATTCCAATGACGTTGTTGAAAAGTTGGATTGAGATTCGAAATCCTAAATTGGACGAGTCCAAAATTGATGTGTTATTGTTTGATTATGTGAACTTCCAGAAAGATTGAGCATTGGAATTTGCCTTCATCAAATCGGATCGCACATAAATGTTGAAAATGCCTTCCTTGGATGTGACCGAAACTGGTTATGTAAAATGTTTTTTGCACCGTGAAACTCGAGTTAAATGTTCCATTGGCCATCGACCTCGGCAATTTGTCACGATTTACTAACTGAATTTCAAGAATTGTCTATGTGGTCACTAAACTTAAATCCGTTGCTTTCCGTCACTCGCTGAATGAATTCTATCTTTGACTTTATCTAGGGGGCAGATGGTAAATCTACGTGGATCGTTAAATCACTCCAAATGATGAGTTAATTGCCATGCAATTTGGAATTTAAACACGGACTTCTTCCTCATAATTGAAGAAACTTCGGTTGAAGATGAAAACCGTTCATGTGAAGTGAAATCGAATCCAGACCCAAACCCTAAGGCGAAGTCATCGATTTTACCCTAAAATGTCAACCTGCCCAGGACCATAGGAAGAGTTTGTGATGGTACAAAATTTGCTATTTTGGTGAGTGAATTTGTAAGTTTTACCAAGGAAGACGAAATCATGTACGGACAAGTTTCCAAAAATATATACATTTTGAAAACCACAATCACAATCCATTTGGAGAAATCTTGCAACCAGTGAACAGAAATTTTGATTGAAACTCCAATCTTTTACATTTTTCATTTTTTTGGGGTTTTCTGGGAATTGATAAATATGGCTTGGAGTAATCAGTTAAAGGAGGTGACGAGTTCAAAGCCATTGTTCGTGACGGACTCACAGTATACTCCATTGTGGTAATTGAAATATTGATTTCATCTATTTATGTATTTTCCTCAATTTTTTTCGAGTTCCTGCTCCTTCTCTTCTCCATGGATGTCCACTTCTGCTATACTTGGATTTGTTTTTCTTTAGAGATATGCGAGGAAGAATTTGTGTTTAAATTCTAGATTGAATTGAGAAGGGCATTTTCTGACGTGGAGGTGACATGACAATTAACTTATAATTTGGAGTGATTTAACGGTCCACATAGATTTACCGTTTGCCACCTAGATAGATTTAAAGACGAAATTCATCCAATGAGTGACAGAAAGTAACGGTTTTAAGTTTTGTGGCCACCGAGACAATTCTTGAAGTTGAGTGAGTAAGTCATAACGAAGTACAAAGTTTGATGGTCAATGAAATATTTAACTTGTGAAATTCAAATATCTCATCTCTTAATGTATACACACAATAAATTATGGATTTTTCCTGGTACATTCGTAAGTTTAGCCCCCGTTTGGCTCCCATTATTTTTCATTACATTACATTTCATTTTTTTCTCTTATTTTTAACCACACAATTTTCTATAAAATAATATTATACGTAAATCGAAAATTTGCCTTTCTTTTTCAATCACTCATTTTTTAAAAAAATACTATTCCATCAATTTTCATCTACACAAAATGGGGACCAAACAGGGTATTTGGGGTTTGGATTTAAGTTTTATAGGTAATTATTATTGCATTTTTCGATTAATGTAAATTTATTTTTCCAATTCCATTTTTTCCTTCCCTTCTTTATTTCATTTACTGAAAGAAAAATCACATACAAAAGTGGTCGGTGCACACGCAGTCATCTGTGGTCATGGAAAAAATAATAAAATAATACAATCTATATATTCATTTTTATAATCCACAAAAGGTACTGTTCTATATATTAATATGAAACAACGTTATACATGACTGACACCAACTTTCACACCCTAAGAAAATAGCACGAATATTCATGAACTGCATACAATTATATTACATCATATGTATATGTTTGTCAATAACACGATGAATTTTCCCATTGGTTCCTTCTTTAAGTCTTCTTCGAGATAGACTTAATTAACGCCCACTTCTTACTTAGTCAATATATATTATTAGATTAGAAATTACCCTCCCTGCTGTTCAAAGTTGACGACTTTACAGCGTACGAAATAAGGGGTTTATGTTGTCTTCGGGACATGGCCCAGTGGTGTAAATGATAGGAGTGAGGTTATCTCATGCCTTACTGACAGTCGAGTGTGGGGGTTCGATTCCTGAGATATGGAATTGAACTTCTTGTAAGCGCAGTGTACAGATTGCTTTTGTTCCCTGACCTGTTGGGACACATTCCGCTATTTACCTGCCTCACAAAAATCTAAGAGTGGGACGGTGAGTGCCCTCAAGATTGGGGTTCAACCTTTTTTTCAAATAAGGGGTTTATGTTTATATTATATTATTGATAAATCAATTGTCTATATAACGTATAACTCTTTCAATCTCATGGTGCAACAAAGTCAAATTGCAATGGAAGTTTTAGCTCTTGGCCTTTCTCTAGCTCTAATCGTTTTCCCTCTTTTCCTTGCCTTCCGCAAACGGTCGGAAGGTGGCAACGGTGCAAAACTTCCACCTGGTAGCTTTGGGTGGCCTATAATGGGAGAAACTATCGAATTCTTGTTCGGCAAACCGGAGAAGTTCGTCGGTGACAGAATGAACAAATACTCCCCACACATCTTCAAAACCAAAATACTTGGAGAAAAAACAGCTGTTATTTGCGGCCCTACTGGCCATAAATTTCTATTTTCTAATGAACAAAAATACTTCACTTCCTTCCGCCCCCACCCTATGCAATACCTCTTCCGTTCCTACCAAAACAACACGGCGGCTCAACCTCCACCACCGCGAACTGATGAATTGAAATCGATTCGACAACCGGGGTTCTTTAAACCTGAAGCCTTGATGAGATATTTGGGGAAAATGGATTCCATCACACAACAACAACTACAAATGCATTGGAATGATGACATAAATACAGTTCAAGTTTACCCTCTTGCCAAAAGCATAACCCTAACACTTGCTTGTCAGTTCTTTCTAGGAATCAACAATCCAGAGCGTATTTCGCGGCTTGTAAAACACTTCGACGATGTTACGGTGGGCATGCATTCGATCATGTTGAACATTCCGGGGACGACTTTTTATCGAGCAAATAAAGCGGCTTCCGCGATTAGGAAGGAACTTCTGAATGTTATAAAAGAGAAGAAACTGGCTATGGCTACCGGAGCTCCGGTGCAAGATATATTGTCTCATATGATTGTTGTTACCGACCCGAATGGCCGATCCATGCCCAACGCCGAAATTGCTGACAAAATAATGGGGTTGCTAACTGCAGGATACAGCACAGTTGCTACCACCATAACTTTCTTGATGAAATACGTTGGCCTTAGCCCCGAAATTTACGAAAAAATCCGAGCAGGTAATATTTTGAAGGAAATGAAAACGTTTTCTACTTTTCTTATGTAAGGCTCTTACGTACTGATTTGTAAATGCAGAGCAACTGGAGATTGCAGCCTCTAAGAAGACTGGCGAATTGCTGGAATGGGAAGATGTACAGAAAATGAAATATTCGTGGAACGTAATATGTGAAACAATGAGACTGGTTCCCCCTCTTCAAGGAACTTTTAGAGAAGTCTTGACGGAATTTACCTATAATGGTTACACAGTTCCAAAGGGTTGGAAGGTAAAACAATTTAGGCTTGCAATAGGACTAATTAATGAAATCAAACTTACAAAGATAAATTTGTAATCATTATGAAATGCAGGTTTATTGGACTGTGAGCACGACCAACACAAACCCTGAATATTTCCGGAACCCAGAGAAGTTTGATCCATCGAGATACGACGAAGGTGAAGAAGCACCGGCACCTTATACTTATGTTCCGTTCGGGGGAGGACCGAGAATGTGCCCCGGAAAAGAGTATGCTAGGCTAGCCATATTGGCTTTCGTTCATAATGTGGTAAATAAGTACAGATGGGAAGTGATTGATCCTAATGAGAAGGTTGAAGGCGATATGATGCCGGAGCCGGAAAAGGGACTTCCGATATGGCTGCATCACCACCACTAGGGTGCATGCTTGCTTGTCAAAGTTTAATTAGGTTGCCAAACACACATGATTTGACTTCTTTAAACAATGCAATAAAAAAATAAGCATCTTTTATTGTAGTGCTATGAAAGAAGGAAGAATTTAGTTGGGGTACCCATCGTTGTTGTAACGCTCAAACGTGAAATCCCAGGTGAACTGCTGCTCGTTTGACTATAATCTTTCAAAAATGCTATTTGTCGGGGTCATTTCAACAGACCGTTGCCAAAATATCTCTCATACAATAGGTTCACCCCATTTTTTAATACCCAAAAAAAAATATATCCACCCCACTTTGAATATGAGGAGTCTGGTCAGGGTTTGTACAAATGTTAAGAACCTTGACAAAATAGCATGGCTCATAATCTTTTTAATTTCAAATATACTAGAAAACGTTTATGCATTTTATTTTTTTGACATTTTCATTCTTAATTACATTTTTGATAGCGCAAAATATCATTTTCATAAAATAATGTAAAATCCTATTTAAGTAAAACACAAAGAAAAATAAAGAACTAATTGCAATCATAGTCCCAATTTTTAAAAAATTCAAATGAGTCCCAAAACAAATTACTAAAAATATTGAAAAAAGAAAAAAAAAACCAAAATCTCTTCGTCTTCTCCTTTAAATGCGTTGATCCTGATTCAGGCACAAGGTAAGAGCCTTTCGTATTGGAATGAATGCTATACAACTACAAATGGAGGGAAAGCAGGGAAACTAATGGTTCTTCGAGATTGAACGAAGAATTATTTGTATGACAACAACGAGAAAAATTTCGGTGAGATGGTCGCACTGTCTTACGTGGTGTGACTATCGAATGGAAAGTTACCACCGAATCGAGTGGCCCACCCTCACCCAAAGAGATGAGGCCATTTTGAAACTTGATTTTTTTTCTCTTTCCACGTTAAGTCTCGAGGTGGCCTTAACTTATTGGGTGAGAGTGAGTCACCTAATAAGGTAGTGGCTTCCCGTTCGATGATTGCACCCAGGCGCACCACGTAGGACGGTGCGACCAGACCACCAAAGTTTTTCTCGACAACAAAAGATAGCCGCCATTAATTTCTCCTCGATATTTAAAGCCGTAGATTTCTAACTGATTTTTGACAATTCAACTAAATTAGTGCTGCTCCACAAACTAAGAGGTTTAAGATAAATTTTTAACTTCGTTAAACAAGGGAAATATCCTTGATTTTCTCGACAATCCGCAACAATTTTAACGGTCGTAAAATAGAATCCGCAGAATATCAATTTCATATTTAAAAAATTCAACTAAGAAAAAAATATTGGAAACAAATACTGTGCTACCGTCTTGCACGATTCACTGCTTCATTGCTGAACCCATGTCGTATAATTCATCTGTCAACTTATTGGAGGAGATTTTTTTGTTTTTTTGTTTTTTT